CCTTGTTCATAAAGCTATCTCATGGATTTAGGCGTTCCTGGATTTGCCAGTGGAACAGTGCTTTTTTTCTTACCTGCTAGAAAGCAGAATGCTGAATGTTAGTCAGACTTTAAAATCTCTCGGATTTCAGCAGACAGACTCTTATTCCACAATGTCAAACGAGCAAAAGCTTCTCTCTTCATCTCTACTTACACACACACACACACAGATGGACAATAGCATACACAAGCACATAAATGCTGTATTTGAGTAGGTGTGGGTCCATATTATGCGTCAGACTCTCAGTGAATTCCACCTTTTGAAATGGCAACTGTTCAGGCTGACTAAACCATGAACAGACATAAATAAAAAAAAATACTGAGAATTTAACATCTTGAATTTGGGCAAAATGGAGGAATTTTATGGCTACTATTTTCTTGCATATATCCTCCGATGTTTTTACAGAGACACATACCGTGGCTGGATTTTCAAAGACGGGACATTCAAACATGGCCGCTTTACACTCGGCTTACCAAACATCAGGGACCCTCAGTGTTGTTCCTTGTAAAGGGGAATCCAGGTTAAAATAGAACTTAATCACTTATTGATTTCACTTTTTAAATCCATACTGAGAACAAAAGGAGTGATGGAGACAAAGAGAAGAAAGCTTTGAGACCATCATCCAATAACAGGAAGTTGTCCTTATAATTCAGTTCATTCAGTGTATCTGAGTCCTGATGTGCACACACACACACACACACACACACACACACACGTAAAACACAACCATAACTGTTCTCTGTTTTCGAAGGTTGTCCACAGTTCTCTATGTAGCACTTTGAGGTCATGCAATACTGTACTTATGTCAGATCTTCGTAATATCACAGTTTGAGACCAAGTTTGTATTGCTTCTGCTTTTGACCGGGCTAAGCTCTCCACTCTGGGCTAGACATCCAAAGGCACAAAGTCCAACCATCGTTGCTTTTATACCCGGGTCCTGATGTACGCACAAAACAAACACACACACACACACACACACACAGGGTTTCCAAGAAAACAAACCATTCTCTGTTTTTGAAGATTGTCGGCACCTATCTCTGTAGCACTTTGAAGTGATGCAATACTGTATTTATAATTTATGATTGATCTGTACATCCTGATGATGGTAGACTGACTAGACTTTGCATAAAGACATTTTGTCCATGTAGACAGAGAGAGAGAGAGAGAGAGAGAGAGAGAAGAGAACCAATCAGTGAAAAACGCAATACTTTGTACACATCTGTGTGGTACCTGTCTGTCTGTCAGCCTGTCGGCCTCTCTGTGTTAGTCCATCTGTCTAGACTGTCTCTCTGTCTGGCTGTTTACCCATCATGGCAATATCAATCCTCCACTTGGACATTTATATATAAAAAAAAAAACTTTCCCTCAATTTTATTGTGGAATGAATGATGATCTGTGCATTTATTTATTACTGATGATCTGTTGAATAAACAATGTTCTTAATTAAGCTGTACGTTGTTTCTCTGTGCGATGGTGTGTGAAACTGAATTGATACACACTGTTTGATAAAAGGCTAACATTTAAAAATGAAGACAGTGCATTATTAGTGTTAATTCCTACACACTGGGTAATGTTCCTATATTAGTACACACAGAATACAGTAGATGATGCAGGTTTAGCAAGTTCACAGAAAAAAAAAAACAGAAGTGAATGACTCAGTCAGTTTGATCACATAATAGTGTCAAAGCAAAAAGAGGGTGTTTTTTTAATATTTATAAGTCATACCACATTTCAATCAATTCATTATCCAAAAAATAGTCCAAAGCAGCCAGATCAAGACAAACTGTGGTATGTCAAATAGAGTGCGGACACAATAACAGTAACACCGGTAGAATATAATTCAATCCAATCCAATATTTAAAAATTAAATATTAAATATAAGATTAAAAATCCACAATCCAAGCATTGTAACTGGTGTTGGGTTCCCCTGCTATTATCTCTAATACGCAGGCATTTTATAATCTTGCTGTAAATTATATCAAATAACAAATCCAGATTTTAAAATGTTAAATAAATGTCATGAATTGGGAGCTACACGGACAGCGTGTGTATTCTTTGTTATTTAAAATACCAGGAACCCCTTTATGTGGCAAATCATTGACTTGCAGCGCCATCCAGTGGTGAGAACATTTCACTGTCCTATGACAGCCACAAAACAAAAGCAAACCCAGCTCCCACCCGTTTGGTGTCAAATGCTGTTCAATTTAACACATTCAGTTACATTAAATGTTAAAATAACGTGTTAAAAATAATTTTATTTAAATTATTTAAATTTAAATGACTTGTTATGGTCATGTTTTAGACTAAGTTCAATGAAAATGTATTTAGACCCAACCTTGCCACCCCTTAAAGTCTCCATGCCACAACTTCACAACCTTTCTCTACCTCACTGTAAAAACCTTTCCCTGTCTCTTCTTTTTTTCTCTTGTCTCATCTCTGCTAATCTTCCCTTTATTTTTTTAATTTCTTCTTATCCTTAACATTTCACATCTTTGGCCATCTCTTCTCTGTCTTACTATAATAGATCGCCTTTGGCTTTGTCTTCTTTTTTCTTGTCTTTATATCTCCTCTCCTCTCTACTCTTCTTTTCTCATCTCTGTCCTCTTCTGGTTTCTTCTTTTGTTTCCATTTTCATCATATTTCTTCTCTCGTTTCTTCTTGTCTCTTTCTTTCGCTTCTTTTCTGATCTTCTCTTCAGGTCTTTCCTCCATTCTCCTCTTCAGTTCTCTTACCTTCCCTCCTCTAGTGCAATTCCTACTACTACTGATACCGCAACCCCCCCCCTCCATTTTGTACCCCTGTAATGAGTTGCAGCTTCTTTTTTTTTTTCCTGGATGGTCGGCAATAAAACATGAGAAAGTCATTATAAGTTTAAACATTTCTCTGAACTAATAGTTTTCATTAAGCCAGGTTTTAGGGGGTGCTGCGTCCCCCTCAGCGGCCCTACTTCCAGCACCATATGTCCATCCTCTTCTGTCTCTGCACAATGTTGGAGGTTCACGCTATCCCCTGCGGATCACGCTCCATCTGTGCAGATGTAGTAGTGTGATGTAATTAGTTGGGCTGTATTATGAACAGGGCATTCTAGTTCAACATGGAGCAAGGCCCAAACTTTTATTTTGAAGGACGCGCGGTTAGCATTTCCGCCATCACGTTTTCAGTGTATTTTAAGTGCTTTTGTTATGTTGTCAGGATGTCCTTTTCCAAGTGTGTACATGAATATACTGTGTTTAACACATTGACAGTATATGGTTTCACACAAGGGTTAGACATGTTGGTCTATGTTGGAGGTTTATTTTACGAACGGTACTTGCCGCACTTCCGTTAGCTTAACTTCCTCTTTGAAGGGGACACATTTTCTCTGCTCTCTCTATCGCCATTTTTAGCTGTAATTGTGAAGTTAAGTTGCTTAAAGTCACATGTAATGCTGTCTTGGTTACATTGTTACGTTTTAGAGTAGTGCTTTTATTTATTTTCATGAAAAATCTTCCAGAAGAGTGTAGGAGCTGCGGGGTAGCTTGTCACACTAGAGTGTTTGCTAGCTAGCAGTCAGTGTAAATAGTGTAAATCAGTGTAAATAATTCCAATTCAAAGAAATGAATTAAAATAAAATCAGTTAAAATAAATTCAAAGCAAGAAGTTGAAGAAGAAAAGCACTTACCTGGAGTCTTACCTTCAGGTTGAGCTGCTCTTTTGCGCCCCCTGCTGCTGAACTGTTCTCTCAAAAGCCTCAAGTTGCTCAGCAAAGGGAAGCTCCAGGAGTATTGGGTTCTTCTGCAGCTGGCACACAAGTCCAGTGTTCCCCCTCTGACCCTGGGGTGGGGGAGTGGGGTGGGGAGAGTTTTGTTTTGAGGGGAAGAGGTAGAAGAGGAAGTGTAGGAGGAAGGGGGAATTCTGGAGGAGGAGCTGGAAGGACAGCCTTAGGAAGAGCGAGGGGATGAGTGCATTTGTGTGTGTGCAAGTATCACAAAATAAACTTTAATACAATTATTAAATCATGGCTGTTGTTATGGTCATTGTTAGGATGGACGGCCTCTTCCAGACCTTCCATCATAAACCACATCAGTGCTAAATTAGTGCTTATTTAAGAGAAACATACCGGCCTTTCTAAAAGAAACAGCTGGCTCCAGTCTGTGGTTTCAATCCGCTACAACCTCCAGTGTTAGATAGATTAACAGAACGGTTGATTGGGTCTCTTTATTGGTGGGAGTATTGATGATTTTGCTTTTTCTCCCCATCCTGATTTACCATCCAGATGAGTGTTTGGGTTGATGAATTGCAGTGTTTCTTCCCGTTCTTGGATTGGCTGAGGTGTCAAAAGATTCTACCCCCGCAGCCATTCATCTCCCAGTAAACACTGAAAATCAATTCAACAGCACAGGAAACAGGATGAATTGGAGTTTTAAGACAGTTAAGTGCCTCCCTAATCTCAGACAAGAAAATAAATGTACTTCTTTTTAATTGAGTTGAGATGAACCTTCTTGGTCTGCCAGATCTGTGTCTGGATTGCATTTTCAACTAATACCGGAGTTGCTTATAGTTGTTCATTAACTTATGCCTAAAAGTACATTCATCAAACAAAAAAACAAACAGAAAAATCATTAAAAAGTAACCAGATAGAAACCTGTGCAGTCTACAGTTATGCAATAAATCCTCCCTTCGTGAAGGTTATAATGTTCACTTTTTGTTGAAACTGTTTTAGAGAGGCATCAGTTAAACTTTGTGCTCATTTTAGAAAGGCGGTTGAATTGTACTGGGAGGTGGGGGCATTGCATTTGTATCAGGAAAATAGCTATTTAACCTGAAAATTGCTTTCTGGAGTGATAAAACTGGCTTGCCTGCTTCAGTGGAGGCAAATTTAACAAAAACATAACAAATACGGAGGCAAGATGAATTAAAAAGTACATCCTGGTAAATAACCATGCTCTGCCAATAAACTGGACAAAGACTATAACACTGTTAAGTTCTTTTTATTAAGGATTTTCTTCTGTACAAGAATGAGGAGATTCTCTGTTCCACATGTTAGCTGGTGAGCAGCTCTGTACAACCGTCTGTACAACCGTAGGTCAAACATTACTGATGAGGAAATGTGTTAAACTGGTGGCTTTTGGTAGAAGGCAGGTCAGAGGGTGAGGCATGGATTCCTCGAACACGCGCACACACACACACCCCTCCAAACTATTTACAACATGATGGCTGACTGGCCCTTGAGACAGATAAGTAGAGACAGACCAGCTCAAACACAATTCAAATAGTTGTCACATAAAAAACGTCTTTCAAAAGACAAAAAAGCAAGAAAAATAAACTCAAAATCATCCATAAAAGACCAATTAATAGGCCCATCTGGAGTTAGTTTATGTACAGTCTCAGTTAAAACAAAGCCCACGGCTCTCTGCTAATAAATCATACGGTGCTGCTGACCTTAATGAGGTCAACACCATAAACTCCACCTGCTCTGGATGTTATTCCAGTATCGTCTGAAACCTTCGTCCCAGTGCTGACTCTGATAAGGGACAACACAGAGGGGGTTAAACAGGAGAACGTAATTCTGGCTGGTCAGCTGTACACTGGCTTCGTTTGTCAAATGCCAGATCTTCTGATGCAAAAAAACAATCATTTGAGGGACACTGTGTGTGTAAGAGAAACATCTTCCAGGCAGGTAAAATCACCATCGTAATGGTATATGTATCTTAAAAACAAATAAAAACCATATACTGGACTGTGTCCCAGTCTGTTTTGTTTTCCCTTTGAAAACTTTTTTTCCCATTATTATCTAATTTCAAGCTTATTAGTTTCTATAATTTTTACTTCAGCCATCAGTTGTTGTTCCTGTCTACTTATTACATTTTTCACTTTTAATTCATTGCCTTTTCATTTTCCCTGCAATGAATCACTTTGTAATTTGCCGAAATGTGCTGCTACTCAAATTATTTTTATTATCACTAATTGTAAATGGGATGAACCACTGCTATCAAATGTGTGGGCGCCAGTACTGATTGGGAAAGGGCTGATGTGAAAACTTCACAGCTTGGAAAATAGTCAGACAAAAAGGTTTAGTTGAGTCTCAGTGGTGGTTATTTTGAGCTGCCAGTCAACTTTTTTTCTGAAAAACACATGAAGGTTTTAGGTTCATTTCACCCTGAACACAGATTTCATGCTCGTTTGCACTTGGCTCAGACCAACGTCATCTTCACCTTGAAAATGCAAATCAGCTGAAATCTGAGTTTGACTCACAGACACTGTAATGCAAACAAAGTCAACATACAAAGCAATCAAATATAAAAATCGGAACAGCTTTGTCAAATTGGAATGGCCTGTCCCTCTCTAGTTGTTTGATTTTGTAACAGCTGTCTCTCTCTGGTGAGTTTCCAAGTGATTTCAAACCAATCTATTTATTCTAAAAAAAAACTTTAAGGCCGTCGCTCTCTCCGTTCTCCACAGTTTTTTTGGGGAATTTCTTGTCCTTGAGCACTGCTGGACTTGACCTGACATGATCGACATGACAGAAGCTGAACTCAGGCGTGGTCCCATATGGTGTACAGTGTCATTAATTAAAAATAATGATCATAAATAAACAGAAAAACATGGTCAATGTAGTAAAAAGAAAAAAACAAAGCTTATAGTACGTAGTGTGAGGAGTTTGCTAAACTTGCTTTTACGATGTTAGTGTGTCAGCATAAATGGTTAATGCAAACAGATATGCGATAGCTCGTCTTTATGTACAACATCATTATCCTCTTCGTCATCCTCCTCGTCATCCTCCACCTCAGTCAACCTGCAGATTTCTGGTTCTATAAATAACTCTCTGAAGCCTGCGACCAGCCCGCTGAATGGCTCACCATGATACAGCGACGAGGATCACGTTTCACATTTGCTTGCGATGTCTGACGAGTGTAAACCCATTAGTATAAAGACGCAAGGAAGAAAACACAAAAATGGAATATGCTTCAGAAAAAACACATAAATAGTGCTGTGTAGAAACAAATCCCTACACACAAACAGTACATTTGTTCTCTTCAACTGAATACTGCAAGCCAGGGATTCCTCTGTTGCACCACTAGGGGGTGCCAACAGTTAAAAGGTAGAGAGGGAAAGGAGGAAAGGGGACAAAAAGGCAGCAGGTTCATGTAAACAACAGCACAAGGAAAAATGTGGGTCCCTGTGAGATACAGTAAAACACAACACAAAAAAGATGCACCAGATGTACTTGAGTAACACACAGTGGTAGCTGCAGTTGGCGAGACCAGGATCAGTCACAATGTGGCTGCACCGAGGGTAACGGCCCATTTTCTTCCAATCAAAGCTTCTTTCTTGTGTTGGTAATGGTCACTTCTCACACCAAAGATGATGAAGAGGTGATGTAACAAAACTGTGCAACGGCAGAGCGCAAAGAATGAGAAAGCTCATTGTTTTATCCCAACCGTTTGGCAGAAAAGATCCCACTGCTTGCTGGGTGGATGAACACAGAGCTTCCTGTGTGCAGTTTAATGATATCACCTGACAAGTTCAACTGGCTGTTTTTGTGGCCGTCTGAGTTGCCAAGTGCAGCTTTTGAGTGAAATGTAATACAAACGAAGAGGAAAAGTGTAATCAAGTGTGCGTTTTGTACATGTTTAACAGTGTCGCAGTCTGGTCTCTCGTGGTCCGCCTGGTTCTGGTAAAAGACTGAGTTTAAATCTGAGCTGGGCTGAAACAAGCAGCAACCACCATGTTTGACTGTCGGGGGCCGAAGGTTGTTTACGATGGTCTCTAGATACGAACTCTAAAACGCAGTATTAAACTGATTTGGAAAACCTCAAAACTTGCTGTAGAAACACAAAGTCAGTGTTTAATTATACTTAAAGATCCCCTCCAGACAGTCTGCTTGGAACAGTGTGTGTGATATGTTTTGCAAAAAAAAAAGAGTCTAATTTCCTCATTAAAATCCTTTAAAAGGCCTCTATTCTTTCCACCTCATTAAAATTCCTGAATCTATGAATATGCTAATTGTGTTCATTTCTAAAGTTTTCCTGCTACTCCGACTTCACTATAAACTCCATTCTCAGTGTCTGTGCACTTGTGGCTTCAGATTCCTACATCACACTCGTATAAGTTGCATACTGGACCAAATTTAGAAATAACATTTTCATTAAAAGAAAATTAAGGCCCAAAGAGCGGCATTTTGGCTTGACTGACAGGTGTCTCAGCCTATCACATTGAGCTACTGTGGTTGCTGCTTGATTGTCATCAAGTACTGGCCAAGTAATCCAAAAAAAACTATATATTGTGAACTGGTTTGTTCTGACAAATGTAGAATATGGTCCCGGTACAAACTGTAGTGGGAAAGCCAAAAGAGTAACAGCCGTGGATTCTGGTCTCCTGTTTGTTTACCGCTTAGTGACTTCTGGGTATTTGTCCGCTGTAATCTGTTTTCCTTCTCACTGCTCACACTTGTTTCATCATTTCTTCTTTGCTTACAGCAGAGATGATGTGAGCGAACACAGGGAGCGGCGTCTTGTTTACATGAGCTTCATTGGTGAAAATGTGACAAGCTGTAACATAAAATGCGCCGGATTTCTGTTCTCTCAGCACGACAATTGCTGTTTCTGGATGTGGCCTCGGGGTGTTGTTTTGTTGCCGTGGATGATGCACAGAGCCGAAAGAGGACACGATATCAAAACAACACATTAAAAGCTGGGGGTAGAATACATAAGCAGTGCAAAGGTGCAAAATCAGGGACGTTTGTTTTGCTCTGGAGTGTGTCCTGATCTAATTGCTTCCTTAATTGTTTTTAGGATCAAACCAGAGAGCTGCAAATTAAAAAAATCAGCTTACTGCTACACTTCCAGAAAAGTTGATCAAACCATTTTCTTTTTCTCCTGCAAAATTAGACCCAATTCATTAAAAGAATCTGATCTGGTTTTTACTGTCTGCTGCTTTGCACTGAGCATGTATTGTCCCCCGAAACTCAAAGACACTGCCTCATCATCCTCCTCTTCTTCCTCGCAGACACATCCACGTCTTGTTTACGAGGGTCGTCCTGATCCACACTTCACCTCACCCACCTCGAGTTCAGCTCTGGAGACCTTTATTTTGGGTCTGAGGTTTGAAACACCTTCTTTTTCAGTTCTAGTCCTCTCTGTGAGTCCATTGCAGTCGAGCCTTCTTCAGGGTCCAGCTGCGATTGCATTTTAGGACTTCTGCTCGGAGGTGGCAGCAGGCGTGGCTAGACTCTCTGGCTTCACAATCTGGTAGGTGATCAAGTATTCTGGGTAAGCCTGTGGACGAAGAACACATCAAAGTAAAAATAAATATTATGGTTTTATCTTGGGCTGAACTCATAAATACGTATATATTAAGAGAACAGAACATACAGGATCAATGATGATAATCATTTAAGTCATTCTTTTTAAATGTGAGGATTTGCTGCTTTATATCCATGTAAATGTAATCTTTGGATTTTAGACTGTTGGTCAGCTATTCCAAGATGTCAACTTGGGCTCTGTGACATTAAGATAATACATGACAAAATAATAAATGAGGGGTCGGCAACCTGCGGCTCCTCTCCAGTGGCTTTGACAAAAAACTATATGGAAATGAATAACCGTTCTTTTTTTACGTTTCCATTCATCATTGTTGTAGGCCTAAAGTGAATATTACATTCTCCAGTTGTAGAAATGTCCAGCCGTTACATACTGAGTGAAAGAAAAAGATTTGAATGTTTTTTCAGCTAAAATGTGCATCATACATTACGTCATGACCTGGCGGCATTTCCTCTATATATTGCCAAATCTCAATAGTGGTTGCTCATAGTTTACTTGCAGTCTCCATAGCCAGGCAAGCTATAGACTCCAAATCCAAAAAAAGAAAAGGAAAACGGGATAGTGCGTGGGCAGATTTGTTTGCTTACCAGTATGCTTGATCTGCGGTGAGAAATGAACATTATAAGGATCAAATATGGTTTGCAGCTCCAGAAAGATTAATTTTTGTTTTGTTTTGGCCAAAAGTGTCTCTTTTGATTGTAAAGGTTGCAGACCCCTGTGATGCATCAAACCCCCTCCACCCAAGAAATCCACAGACTGACTAACTGATAAAGAAAAATTGGCACAACTCTACTTATTTCATATAATTATGTAACAAAGTGTGTGAGCGTGTGTGTGCACGCTTTCCCACCTGCTCCCCTCTGTAGATGACGTACTCTGCATACGCCAGCCCGTTGACGCTGGGTCGTCCTATAACGGAGTGATGTCCGGGGGGGGCGTGGGCCATTTTCATGGCGCTGAACTGCAGAAAGGATTTACCCAGTGTCACTCTGCAGAACAGCATCTGCCTGAAATCCCAAAAGCAAAGAATGATGCAGTCAGTGGTACTGTCACATAAATGGACATATACAGTTGGTACCAGATGTCTCACACAAATATTTGTATAATTGATAAAACTGTTGCTCAGAGTAAAGTTTAATTTTGCTTCCTGCAATAACACAATGGAGATTCTAGTTGACACAAAATCCAATTCGATCAAATTCTCCATTCTACATAATTATAGTATATTGAATTTTTAACAGTGTGTTGTTTTTGCAAATAGTAAACAGGAAACCAATGTGCTTTACTGTTTTGTACTGCTCAAACAAAAGGACCGACCCAAAAAGCGAAACAGTAAATGAAGTCGTCAGCACTCACAAATGAGTTTATAATACTTTTAATTGTGCAGCAGCAGAGGAAAACTGTTTGAGCCCTAGGTGTTCCTCAGCAACACGGAGGAAAGCCTAGGGCTGTGTGTTTGTCTTATACTTTAGTTTTTTTATACTTATTTGTTAATGCGTGCTGTCGACTTCACTTATTGTTGTGTACTGACAGGAAAAAATTCTGCTGATAGACATCAATGAAGCAGTGGCTTTGGAATACTACTGTCAAGTAAATAAAGAAAGCAAAGTGTACTTCAAAAGATTTCTTTTTTTGGCTTTCTAAGATGTTCCTGAAGCTAACATTTGCTAAAAAAATTCCTCTTTTCCTTTGTGCACTGCATTATGGGACAATTCAAAAGTGTATTCAGTATACATAGCAGTGCAAATGAATTACATAATCAAAGCCAGGTTAAAATGAGCACACAAAATACATTTCACTTAACTAATAAAACGTCTCACCTGTGGCACACGTAGCAGGAGCGGTCTTTGTGGGTGGGACATCCTGTGCCTCCACCAATCCCGTACACGTACTGGTTGCTCTTGGAGGAGTTCTCAGCAAAATAGATCCCGGCACCGAACATGCCACCGATGTAAGCATGTCGCTCATCAAAGCCCTTATGGATGATGGCGTTGATGAAGGGAGAACCTGGCAGGAGACATTTAAATAAAGTGAGCCAGGACACATCGCAATGCAAAAACATGTAATGGACTGCCTGCAGAGCTCCAGGGTGGGGACAGGGACACTTCCTTTATGTCTCCTTTATGGCTTTGTTTTAGCTTCAAAACACAAAGTATTATATCCTTTTCTGGTGCCTCCACCGGCAGTCCCCACATGGAAGTAACTAACAATCGTAATTTAAAGAGTTATAATGAAAACATAGTGTCTCTGATGTTAAGTCTACATACACCATCCACTGCAATTAGTACACCTCCCCTTTTTAAACTGCACAAACAGCCCTCTTCTCCAGGCAGTGAATCACAGATAAATAAAGCACAAAAGTATAAAGAATGCAGACAACGTAGACGGATCCAGATAGTGTTTGACTAAGTGTTATCTCGGGAAATCCATGATCTAAGACACTTTGAACATAATATGATTGCTGGTGCCAGGCGCACTGTTTCAGGCATCACAGAAGCCAGAAACTTCCTGGGATTTTCTACTCTACAGCGTTTAAAGAAACAGAACTCGGCTGCAGTCCTGAGGGTTGCGTCCTGACCGAGCTTTGTGGTTTAAAAGGGGACATTGAAGATTATTGAGATTTATTCAAGCTTAATGTCAGAATGAAAACATTGCAGTTCATCTCAGAGCACACGAATGATTGAAGACCGAACTGCGTTTGACTGAGGCTACAGGGGAGATGTGATAAGAAAACTGTCACCATGTTGAACACACTGTTTTGTATTTTAACAGTCAAAACCAGCTACAACACACAGTCTCCTTCAACAGCTCAACAATATCATGCAATTGCATCTTTTGCATGTCCTGTGTTTTTGGTTCTACCACCACATTTCCTCCCAACACCAAGTATCTCTTTCTGGCAATGATGTAACTATATGAACAGACCAGGTGTTACACCGACTATAGAGAGCTGAAGTTAAACTGGAACTTACAGGTTCTGTCCTAGAGTAAAACCTCATTTGAAAATTAATTTGCATTTGTGATAATGTAAATATAATAAGGAAAATCCAGCCATGAATCATAACCTTAACAGTATGTCAGCTAAAACGCTACAGCTCCACAGACGGATGAAAGACAATGGGCAAAGTCAAAAATGTTATTGAAAAATGAAACACAGAAATTATGTGGCTGTAGAGCAACACGTGTTAAATTACCGTGAAAGAGCATTCGCTCGTTGTGATGGTTGTGATTCTCGTCAGCAATTTCTTTTTGTCTGTGTGCGTATCTTTCCCGTAGCTTCTTATTCACCACCTTCTGAATCTGCAGTCGGGGGGGGGGGGATAGAGGGAGGGGTAAAGAGTGAAATAGAGGGAGAAAAGTAGGAAACATGCTGTGAATGAATTAAAATGCATTTACAAAACAACCATATTTAAATTTGAAAATTGAAAGTTAATTAAGTATAAAGCCCTTATTTGTGATTATGAAGAGAGAAAACTGGTCTGTGTGTGTGTTTGTTTTGATTACACACCTTAATGATGTTGTACCGGCTGAAGACTCCACCTGCGTTGCCTCCATCGCGGTGCTCTCTGATTGTGCTCTGCAGCTGAGGAGGAAATAAACAGACAGAAGGTCAAAACTTACACACATGTGCAAAGCTTTTGAAGGTTAAAACGCGAAAAGTGTGGAGAAAAACGTGCTAATGAAATGCAGTTTCGATATATCATGTGAATGTGAATAGCATATGGTGTGATTCATACAGCTCTTTGGACAGCTGTAGCGTTAGAGGGGTGATGAGTCATTTTTTAACCTCAGCAGCCCGGGGGTGTTTTCATATTTAGGAAAAAAACAAGGTGCAAGTGATAACCTGTTGTCACCTCGATTAACAATTCAAACTTTAAAATAGTCTCGAGAGAACTCATGTCAATCATGTTTCGAGTTCTCAAGTAAAATTTACAGTTTAAATTACCTGTTAAATTTCTGTTAACATCTGATGGTCCTTATTAATTTTAAACCCATTCAGACGGATATCTGCTGTCTCTTTGAATTACTGCTTTCATTTACAAGAGAAATATAGTCAGTGGAGCAGACACTGATAGGGAGACTCTAGTACAGTGTGTTGTCCTTTGCCAGATGGCTAAAATTACTAATGACAGACATGATCAAATTTTAGATTACGAACCCACCAAGAGAAATCATTAAATTATCTGACCAAACTGCTATAAAGGCATGCAGTGCAGTGAGGTGGAAAAATAACCGCCATCAACCTAAGTGAGTGCAGCATCTGTGTTTCTGAGTAAATGTAGTTAGATGTGTGTGTTAGTGGTCGAAGGATATGGGATTTTCAACGGCTGATGCCGATTATCTCGGAATGCCAAATAATCAGCCCGATTAATCAGCCGAATGATTATCACTAGTGTATGTGAAGGTGCGTTTGCATACTTCCTCCTCCACAGACTGGAACTCCTTGTCGTCCGGTGCCAGGTCAATCAGCACGGTGCCCTGGCTGGAGCAGTGGAACGTCAGGTACGGGTTCCCACCTACAAACGCAAAGTGAATCAGGGAGAGAATAAATGACGACACTGGACTACAGGTCATTTTATCCAGTTTCTGAGCACAGTAAAACCAACTGCTTGATGGCTTTGTTACAGAAGCATGTACACACTTTAGGTTTAAGGCCTAATCTGCCATTTCTTTCATAAATTAAATATTCACCAATATAACCCAAGAGTTTGATGTATCAGCAATTTAAGTGTTTCTCAACTGATCTGAAGATGTGTAACTAGATAACACAATCCTAGTTATCAGGATAAGTTGCTTGATTGTGAGAAAATCACAAGTCACATTAATGATATCTTTTAACATTTCCGTTGTTTATTTAAGATTAAATATGCATTTCAATACAATTAATCAGACATAAAATCTTACTTTACTTCCACTTCTCAGCTCCAGCTTGTAAGAGTTGATTATATCTCATTAAGTACATCACAAACTGTGTTTTTTACCCTCTTACGTGTATGTGTGTGTTTTTTTGTGTGTTTCCTGACCTTGCTGGCCTCCTAGCAGCCTCTCGATGCCCTTGATGAGTTTGTGTCTGTGGCCGTAGGCGTTGATGCCGATCTCTTTCAGCTCCTCGTGACCCATGTCTGCCAACACATCCAGCGAAATCTGCCCGGAAACGGCAAAGAGGCCCTTTCAGTCTTGCTTATGGTTGCATCTGCTTTTATAATCACAATATGACCTACTCTAGCCATACTTCTGATTATACATCTGTCAACTAAATCAGACGTTGTTCTACTGTATTTAACTGTAGAACTCCGCACAAGGACCCATTACCGTTTAATGGTAAATACATTCCATACTGAGTTCAATGATCTAAGACATATTGCAGAGACAATAGGTCTGACAAATATTCATGAGAGAAAGACAGAAGCGGAAAGAAGAAAAGGTCAATGAATGAATGGCAGTAATCAAGTCATTCATATGCAAATTGGTGATGGTGAAGTGTGAGATTCATGCTGGAGACAGAGATAACTCAGCTTTTCAAACGCTAACCTTTACCTACTTTTCTCTCTGTTGCTGTGATCACTGCTACAGGTGTAAATCATCATAGCCTAAACACTCTGGGAGTTTAATCAGGCACCAGCAGAAAGAAGAAAAATACAAACTCGGAATTTGTTTGGCACCACAAACCCCCCCGATTCAGTTACAGCAAAGGGGCGAAAACTTCAGTTGTTTACTTCTTCAGAATGCTTAATGTAATCAACTAAAACTAATGAAAGTGTCACAAATGTATTATTACTTCGTAGTACTACATTACTTTGGACACTACTCCTTCAGTTTTCCTGCTTTTAGTGACTGGAACGAATTGCAAAAGATGCTGAAACTGCACACCTTTATCCAGTTACCCTTCTTTACTAACTCATTACATGCGATAGTTTCTGCTGCTTTTGAATTTGACTCTGTGGAACACAGTACTTAGATCTCTGTTGTGTACATACTGTATATATTGTGCTGTCTAATATTGTTTGGGATTTTTTGCACTAGCTGTATCTTTATTTTAATTGCTGTATCGACCCGCCTCCTGTCGCTGCCTGTTGGCCAGGTCGTCGATGTAAATGATAATATGAAAATATTTCCTCCTGCTAATTCCTTGCAATCTTGCAAATGTATTGCAGGTTGTCTGCAAGAAATGGCTAAATCTAGAAAGAAATAATAATTATTCCCATATATTTTGCATAAACCATTCGATCAGACTTTATGTTGACAAGGTTTTCTACTAATCCTCTTCAACAACAACAAATAAGGGAGCAGTGAAGCTTTACAGAGGGAACAGACGGAAGATTCACACAGCACAAAGTTGATACACGAGCAAAAGTATGGTTTTATAATAAAATGTCTTAAAAGGACTGATGTTAAATCAGAACTCCTTTTCTTCTTGTATTTTTCCATTAACACCCAGCTGACTCTCACCTCCATCTCACTCTTCATCTGAATGTTAATGACAGCTTGTTTCCCTTTAGGGCACCAAGAATAAATGTAACACACACACACAAACACACATATCCTCCATATTGCTCCCACATTGCCTTCTATGCTTAGCCTTTTGCCCGCTGTCACCTTTCAATTTCACTTTCTATTTCGGTCTCTCTCCTTGTCTGCTTACTCCTCTTTCTGTCACCCCATCTGTCTCTTCGTCTATCTCTGTCTTTCTATTTTCTTCATCTTTCTCCTCAAGCCCCTTTCTTTCTCTTTATCGATGTTTTCTCACTCCGTCCATCTGTGTCCCTCTTCTGTTTCTGTTGCTCTGTCTACATCACCACCTCTTTCTGCCCGTCTACAGCCAAGCTACTGGCTCTTTGAGGTGCATTTCCAACAATCACTATCTTGGTTTAGTGTGTTAGCATGCAAACAGTTGCTAATTAGCACTAAACACATATTATAGTTGAGGCTGATGGGAATGTCATTAGTGTTGCAGGTATTTAGCCATAAACCTGGCTATAAGACGCCATAAAAGTGTTGGACAAATTAAAATGTTGATGACCATAGATAAAAGGTTAAGGTCTTAAAGGGAACATGGATGTCTGAGCCAATATTTATGGCAATCCATAAAACCATAGGATGGCTAAAAATGACGTAAAATGGAAAAAAAAAAAAGGAAAGACAACTGGTTAAATAAAATAGTTTAAAACAAGACTGAACTAGTACGTATGTCAGAGAAATAAACCTAAAAAGACAAAGTTTAATATTTATATCAGGAAATGTATATTTCACTGGGAATCTGAAGCTCTTTACTTGTCTTTCCCTCTCTCTCTCTCCCTCCCACTGTATCTACTGTATGAGCTTCTCCAGTTCTTTACATATTGTGCTGTTCCCTCATACTTTTGTCTTCTTCCCAGACACACGACAAAGAATGTGTTTGAATACCTGTTCCCGCTGGAAGATGTCTCGGAGGTGTTCCAGCCCTAGACTCTTCAAGAACTGGTTGATGGTCATGTCGAGCAGAGCTGCAGAGACACAGTGATGTCAGCAGTGATGTCCCGGCGGTTACACGTGTTTACATCAACAACATCTAAGACACCCGCGCAGGCGACCGCACCAGCCCCTGACTTAGGATATGTTTGTACGTACTTTCTCCTTCTTTCCTGTCAGACCCAGATGCTCCGTCTGCTGGTCCAGTGGCCCCACCCACGGTGATGTCACTGAGGGGCGTGGTCAGGTTGTCTATGCTGCTGGCTGCAGACAGGCAAGATGGGGATGGGGAGGGAGAGATGACCACGCCCCCTGCCGCACCGGTACTCACCACACTTGCGCTCACCTGAGAATAAAGACACTTTTTTTTTTATACAGTGCACGCACTTTCAGCCACTTTATTTTCAACTACTTTTATTGTTTACAGTTCAACTGACACTTCAGCTGTCATTTCTTTTCACATGACAGTTCAACTACTTTCATCTCTTACACTTTAACTGATGATTCAACTGCTTTCAGTGCTTATAAGTCACATGACATTTCAGCTGCTTTTATCTCTTACACTTCAGTAGTTAAAATGCTTTCAGTGCTTACATGTAAACTGACAACTGCCTAGAGGGCGTTGATTTCACTTGCTAAAGTGTCAACTTCAACTCTCACACTCAATGTGCTTCAGCTCAATTCATGAGCCTTTTTCCAGATAGGTTATAAGCTGTTTCTTCTTGCAGTAAGTCAATGCAGTATCAGATGAAAGCCCTCTGTCGGCACTTGTACGTACGCGTGTGGACACTCACCACGGTGGCCTGGGGTTTTAAACAGCTCGGCAGGGCATCTGGCGGCATGGCGTCAATCAACAGTGCTCTGATATCATCAGCCTGCAACAGACATGAAAACAAGACAGAATGACAAGATGTAGACGGACATATTGTTGATGTATTTTTGGCTGAAATGACCACTATTTTCTTCTTTAGTGGATAAATCCGGTCCCCTGCCACATTTGCTGGAAACTTATTTAGACAACAACCCTTAAATGGGCTTTAAACAGTCGTTTCCTTTTATTTTTCCAACCTGCTAGCCACCATGCTCTCCTCCCAAGAGACAATTCGATCAAACCACAAAGCAATGATTATTAAATTATGACACATAAGAATAATTAAAGCCAGACTATGTAACATTTACTGAACATTAACTAACATTTTTTTTAGCATTTGGCTAAGATGCTAAGCTATTGAGACATTAGCAAAGGTGGATATGAGTCATAAAGTGAGACACAGTAATGTTTGTTATATAGCAATATTTATCTAAAGTTTGCTAGCATTAGCCACCATAAGCTACTGGTCACACCAGACCACTGCTAGGATGTAGCAGCAAAATCCCTGGTGAGTTTTGTTTCTTATTGATTCAGTTAAATGAAAAAATGTGTTTTCTGTCTGTCAAAAGTTTGGCACAATCCCTTGAAATAACAGCCAAGAACAACAACAAAACATATCCACTTAGTGAATGGTGGTTTGAAAAGATATCTGAGAGTCTAAATAACACACATTTAACATTTTCCGGTTGCAGTTGGATTATCCAGGTTGTTATTCAGTGCTTAATTGAGGCTCAGTTTGATGGTCAATACATTGCCTGATTGTACAGTATTCATTACTAAGCTTATTCTCATAGTCAACACGCAGACAAAGCTACCAGCATCATTTTTGTTCTAATCTCTAATCTGTAGCAGAACTGGGGTCTAATGTAACAGCATCATGAGCTGCAGGGACATGTTATTCTCTCAAACTCTGGTACCTGCAGTCAAACAAGAAGCCCTATTAGGAGGCTTATTAGGAATCCTCATTAGGGTGCAAGGAAGCTACCTGTTCTGCCATCCAAATTTCTGCAAACTCTTTTCAGGGTGCTCCACTGTCTGAATAATTATCCATAACAAGCCAAACATTTGAAGTTAATGACACTGCCACGCGCTGACTCATAACACGTGTTGAGGACCCATACTGTGAAACATTTCTAAGAAAGCCGCTCGCACCGTGGCCAAGTCCAGCGGCGTCTGTCCCTCCTGGTTCTTCATGGTGGGATCAGCTCCATGGGCCAATAGCAGAGCACAGAGCTGAGTCCGCCCCTTCTGGGCTGCTTCATGGAGGGGAGTAAATGCCCACTTGTCCGTGGCGTTGACGCACGTGTTGTACTTGATCAGCAGGGCGGCAATGTCCACATGCTAGAAAGAGGAGAGGAGGTAGAGGTGAAGAAGAGGAAGGAGGTGGTGATGATGGACGTAGAGAGAGCAAAACAGAGGAAAAGAGGAGAGGAGGTAGAGGTGAAGAAGAGGAAGGAGGTGGTGATGATGGATGTAGAGAGAGCAAAACAGAGGAAAAGAGGAGAGAAGTAAAGGAGAGCACCGAAGAGAGATCAGAAATGAAGGAGGAAAAGAGACAACAGCAATAACAAGCTCTTCACAAGAGCAAATGTGTGAAGTCTGGTGAATGAGTGCTATAAAAATCGTGATCAGAGAAAATGTAATACGTGGGATGCTCTGGAACAGAAATTGTGTGAATTATTAACTCCATCATGATTCTCGTTTTCCCGCCGGTCCTTCCTTTCCGTCTATCCTGTTCTTTTCCCTCATCGTCTGTCAGCAGCTCGTCTTAGCGCCAAACACAATGTAGCTTGTTTCTGGGCACCGGTGGGGGGATAACGTTGAGTGTGTGTGTATGTATGTCTCTAAAACGCAGAGCTCATCAAATTTTCATTCAGACATGTGTTTCATGACTCTTTCAGTGCCAGAATGCTGTCGAGCTATGAGGAAAATGTGAGAGACAACCAACGACTCTACATGATGGGAAAACCACATGAATGCACTTCTTAAGACAAAAAAGTATCATAATAATAATTTAAATAGAGAAAACACTGTTACATATCACAAACACAATATAAAGTATTTTGCCATATAAATCCCACATGTGATATGGATTTAAATCCTCCAATAAGAATTTCTAAATGTCACATAAACATTTAGCATACTTCATGACATTTACCTGAGACAAATGAGGCACAATTAGCAGCGTTAGCATGGACAGCAACGGGACAAAAGAATGGAAAGGAAATCAAATAGTCCAATAATTGAATCTCACCATTCTCTTTCTAATTATACAGTTAGTTCATAACATGCCAGGGAATTGTGAATAAAGGCCATCACATTCCCAAGGTGATCAAAATGTTTGTTTTGTTTGACAAATAGTCCCAAAACTACGTTTACCACACACTAAAATGATACAATTCAGTGTATAACTTACAGAGAAAAGCACAATCTGGATTTTAGCTGCTGGAAGCAGCAAATATTCGGTATTTGGGCTATCAAAATTGCTCTTGATTAATTGTGAGTCGACCAAGAAGGAGCTTAATCAGCTGATTGTCTCAGCACTAAGCTGAAGAGTTCATACATTTATTGGATACGAGTTCTATCCTAAAATATATATGATTTATATGAATAGATAGTCAGTCTCCAGTGTGAGTGAAGCCTGTGTGTGTGCGTGTGTGTGTGCGTCTTACCCCGTATGAAGCAGCATTGTGTAAAGGTATCAGCCCTCCTTTGTCCTGTGCATTCACATCGGCTCCATGTTCCAACAGATACTCTGCTACCTCCAAGTTGTTATAGCCGGCTGGTGAGGGTGTGGGGGTGGGGGGGAGGAAGACGAGGAATGAGATAAATGGAGAAAAAGAGGAGAAACAAAAATGTTGTCAGGTAATGAGAGAGGAGGAAATAAAGAGAGAAAGACAGAGAGACATGTCAGCCTACATCAGCTGCAGTATGACAGCGTATAATCATCTTTTTCTTTCACAAGCAAGTGCACGAAGGCAGAGGGTGCGTGGGTGTGTGTCTAAGTGGTCAGATCTATGAAAAATCACAGACCTTCAAAGTGTTTTTCAACACTTTCTTAACTTTAAAATTGCCAGTCATGCTGCAAAACATTTTCTAATTAATTAATACACTTTATCTAAGCTAGTCTAGTTGTGAAAGTCTCTATAATACAGAATCTAAAAAGACATATGAGAAGACAAAGAGAAGTCAATTTCCCCATCAGAGCATTATATGGAGAAACACTACAGGAAAAACCTGAAGTAGTCTGAGAGACAGGCAGAGGCTTTTAACCCCGACAACACCGGTTCAATACTTAATTCATGCCAACATGAATCACGAAACAAGTCAAATCAGCACCATTCATGGGCTTGAAAGTAATCATTACATTATTCATGTTTGTGCTTATAATTTTATCGAGAATATAACGAAAGCATGAAGATAAAAACACAACATCTAAATATTGAGCCTCCATTTTAAGGTCAGGTTTGAAGAAATGTTTTTACTATGTTTATGTGTGTTTATGCCTGAGAGGTGCTCTAGCAGAACGGCGTATATCTCTCTTGTTATCTCTGAGGCTGATATTATCATGATTACAGATCCTGAAAAAATATGTGTGTGTGTGTGTGTGTGTGTGTTTGTGTGTGTGTGCACCTTTGAGGGCCCACAGTATTTCTGCTATCAGGAATTAAAAACTTTAAAAATTGTAGAAGATCCAAGGTCAATACAGTACACCATATGTTTTAACAGGCAAATCCATGCTCACATCCTGTAAGCAGGCAGAAACAAGGCCTTTAGATAGTAGGACCGAACATGTGCAACTAGAAGAAATCGTGTTTTCCCAAAATGTCAAATCTTTTCTTTAAAAATGTAGTGATAAGAGCCGGATGGCACAAAACATTTTAACTTATCTAAATTGTACATCATTTTATTTGGCGCACCGTCTTTTACATTTTCTGTCTAGTCACATCTATCATTCAAAAGAAAGGACAGTGCACGCAGTTTGGGAGTGATATTTGACTACTGTGATTCCCTTTCCTCAGGTAATACATTAGCTGCCTGTTTCCAGCTCATCCAAAATGCTGCTGCCCAGTTCCTAACAATTACCAGGAGATGACAACACATTAGGCTACTGGTGCATTTTAAACCAACTTAAACATCCTGCCGATAACTTTTAAGGCGCAGCGTGGTCAGGCTCCCAGTTATATTTCAGACATGTCGATCCCCTGTGAGCCACAACACAGCCCGAGCTGTTGAGGCACGGGTCTGTTCCCCCAAGTCTTATTTTACCAGCCTCTTTTGCTGTGTCTAACCTGACTGATTTTACTGTTATTAATTCCATTTCAATAAAGTTTATTGTTTATCTCTTTTCCTTTGTTGTTGTTACTGTAAAACTGTGTTCAGAAAAGTTATATATAAATACAGTTTATTTATCGTTAAATGTATCCATGTAAAAATGTGTTACTTGAACAAATATTGATTGATTTTTATGGATGTCATGCCCATCATAGAAACACATAATTCTGTTACTATGTCAAATACATAAACTGGTTCGGTGGTGGCACTAAGGAGCTCACAATCCATGATAATATTAACGTTTGAGTGTCCTCATAAATATTGTAGTGCACCAGTAAACCTGAGAGCCTGGTAAACCTGCTCAATGATTACTGTGATCGAAAATGGTGTTAAAAAATTAAAAAATCACTGATAAATTGCTACACTGTCCCCGACTGCCTGTCCATGAACAAGACTTTAGTTGTCGGGATGTGTTTATTGCCTTGTTCTTGGCACTGCACTGAGCCAAAATCCCAGGAGGTCGGCTGTTTCTGAGATACTGCAGCCAGAGTGATTGGCACCAGCAAGTATACCATGTCAAAAGTCGCTTAAATCCTGCAAACTTCAGCCAAACAGTAACTAAAAGCGTCTGGCTTTATCTTTCATTTTAATGTGTCTGCAAAATGAGCTTTACTCAATTTAGGGAGGTGTTTACTGTGTGTGTCTCTGTGTGCAGCTTTTTGTTTGGTGTTTCTACATGCACGTTACCTGCAAGGTGCAGAGGTGTCGAGTTGCGTCCCTGCGTGTCCCGACAGTTGATGTTGTCGGGGCTACATAACTTCTGCACCCTGGCCAGGCAGCCTTTCTTAGCGGCGTCCAGCAGTGCGGCGTCTCCTCTCAGCAGGTCCTGGATGTCGGTGTCCCCGTCCTTTACCAGATCCAGAGGCGTGTTCCCATCTCGGTTCTTCTTGGTGGGGTCTGCTCCGTGCTGGAGAGAGGAGGCCAAAACGGAAGCGTTCAGTGTAAAGGAAAGAAAGATGATAAAGAAAGAAATGCTTATCCGTCGTATGTCCACGCACACTAACGTCTATGATGTAGACAGTGTTTGTAATTAAAATGCAGAGGGCAATTTAGTCTCTAAGCAAAGACTACATTTAAAGACTAATATATACAAAATATCAGCTATCCTACAAAACATCAGTCCTGACAATCCCTTATCGTTTAAACCCCAGTGGTAACGTTTCACTTAGACGAGGAAGAGACACTGACAAGTGACGAGTGAGAAGTGGATGAAGGTAATTCACCAGAGAGAAGAAGAGGGGGAGAGACGAAAGGAGGTAGAGAGGTGAGGACAGGACATCCAGTGAAGTGGAAAACAACTCATACCCTGGAGATGGGGGGGGGGACAGACATTTTCATCATTCTACTGTCTCCTAGGTTACGGTTTAACTTGTGATTTCATTGTTAGTTTTGAAATCCACTCATTAAAATTTGATGTAGTGGGACCACTCCCCTGGGCATCCACTGCTGGCCTGAAACTGTCCGTTATACATCGCTCATGGCTGTATTCCCTTTCTTTTTAAAGTTTTTTTTTTGAACCTATCCATGTTATGGTTTTTCTGCCCTACTTCTCCATTTCTATTATCTCTTTGCTGCTGATGTAATCACATTCCCACTGTAATTTATTCTTTATCCAGGAAAATTTAAATAGAGACCCATTGAAAGCAATAATTGAGGACATTTACATATAAGTAAATGTCGGTTTTGTTACTCTTCCGGTGGATTCAGACAATACTCTTTTAACTAAACGTTTCATTTACAGAACCTATAAACTGTATATAAACAAGTATCTAGCTCATAGGAAGTAACGAATCTAACAGCTAACGGCTCTGTAAAGCTGACAATGACAATGCAGTAACATGCAGATTTTAAGCAGGTGTAATGTTTACCATACATGTTCACCATCTTAGTTCAGCATGTTAGCATGCTAATATATGATGGTTAGCACTAAACCCAAAGTACAGCTGAGGCTGATGGGAATATCATTAGTTTTGCAGGTATTTAGTCATTAAGTATTGATGAAATTGAAAGTTTGACTTGATGGTGGCACTAGATGAAAAGACCACTGAAGTTATAAAAAATAATTTCGAGGGACAAATTTAATGTCTGAACCAAATTTCATTGAAATTCTTCCAATATATGTTGAGATATTTCACTAAAAGCCAAAAATGTCAACCTGCTTGAGGTAAAATCGTGGATTACTAGAGCCATTAGGATTCATCATCTGGGTACCATAGATATCTGTACCAAATGTCACAGCAATCCACCCAGTGGAGATATGTCAGTCTGGACTTCAATGGTGGACTGACCAAAGATACGCCACTAGCATGTCTACAAACACAAGCAGAGCTGGGTATTTATTGTGAACAGTGACAGCCCCAACGAATGAATAAATGAGAGAAAAACACCTACATCAACAGAAACCGCAAACAAGAAGATGTCACACGGCTTTGGCTGACAGTTGGTCTCTTGCAAGACGATAACACATGCAGCCAAGATCATAAGTCATCGGAGTTCACACATTTTATGCCAAGTGCTAACAAGACACTTCTTCAGTAAATGAGGAGGAATTCATTACGTTCTTGCACTTCTTTCCTAACAAAGAATATGCTAATATGCGTTTTTTATGTCTCACAAGATGCCTGCAGAATATCACAGTACTGGGGGCAAATGCAGTGGAGTTTTCATTCGAAGCACAAATCCAACAGAAAAAAAGGACAATAGAAAGTTGACAACAAACAAAGTAGACAAAGGAAAAGCTACTGCTGAACTGTGGAATAGTTTATTCAGTAAGAGAGAACAGTTACATCCCGAGGCCATGGCAGATTAACACCAAAGTGTGGGAACACTCTGTTACTTGAGTGCATGTGTGTGTGTGTGTGTTAAAGGGGAAATGAGGGTGCTGCTATGTGTACACAGGAATCACAAACACAAGCTTAAAAATCCAACTGAAATTTGCGGGTGTGAGGCTTTTCCAACCAGAGTGGAAAAATGCCAAACCTTCCCACCACCTTGAACAATCGATCATCTGTCTGCGTTTCCAACCTCTGCCTCCAGACCTCTTACTGAAAGTGTGGCCTGAGGGAGCTGCTGTATCTCTGAACTCCAGGACTGTTTGGAGAGCACTGACTGGGATTTATCTGCACACGAGGCTTCACCAGGCTTGCACACTGACGCTGAGGAATATGTTTAGTCTCCTGCTGCATATGTAATGATAAAGCGCCTGACAGCCGCCCAGATACGCTGAACCGAACAAAAAAAACAACAAAGACGAGGATGAACAATCGCTTGTAATAAACTCCCACTAAGTTAAGTGTACCTTACGTTGGATGAACGCAAACAAAGCTGCTGAGGCAGATGGTGTTCCTGAAGTACTGCAATGATAAGCTACAGTAGCACCGGTCTTCGTGAGCATTGGGAAACATCTCACTGTTGCAGGTCAAAGTCAAATTAAAGGAACGACTCCATAATTTGGGCCTCAAAGCTCTACTGTGTACCACCAGACCACAGACTGATTGTCAGGCTTGGCGACCCTAAACACTAGCGCACCTCAGCTGAGTACTGAGTCCTCTTCTCACTATTTACACACGCCTGCAGGCAAAAGGGTTAAAAGAAGCACAAAGACTTTACTTGAGGAGAATGAAGCAAGCACCATCTCCCCAACGGATGCTTATGAACTCCACAGAATCTATGCTGACATACATACAGCTGACAATTGGATGACTGCGGTCAGACAGCCACTGTAGGGCTGCCACTGATGATTATTTTCATTATAGATTAATCTGAATATTAACAATTAACACCTTTGCTCATTAAAATTCCCCAGAGTCAGAGGTGACATCTTCTTTTGCTTCCTTTTTTTTTGCCACTAACAGTTCAAAACCCAAAGATATTTAATTAATAATAGTTAGGTTTCCTTCCAAATGTAGCTCATAGTTTACTAGAATTTCCATTAAATGTGAAAGCATTGGCGTTTCCATCCACTGCTGTTATGTAAATATTACGATTTAGGCACATCAAGATAAACAGTTGGTGGTGGAACTAATTCTCCAGTCAGGTGCCATTAAGCCACTGCAGAAGAAGATGACATAATGAAAAAAGAGCTGTAGTCAAACCTCAAGCAGTGGAAAACCATGTGGAAACGTGATGGAAATATGAAATGTATGACTTATTTAAAGTCCCACATTGCTCCACACAGGTCTGATGTTTTCAGCTGCTGCAGTTTTTAGTCATGATTTATTTGTTGCATATTGTTTTTATCAAATTCTCCACCTCAGCCTTGCATTAAATTTTTTTTAGCAAATCCGGCTAAAATTTCTACTTGAGTTTCTTTTAATGTGCAAATTGAAAACACTTCAACAATTAATGGTCGTCCGTAATGTTGTCAATTAGATTCCTTTCAAATCACTGAATCGCATCATCCAGCATGCTGGCTCCAGGAAATCGCTCAACATTTGTAAGGAATCAGCCCACACAAGCCAGAGCACAACTTCTTTTTCCAGAGAGCCGTCACCTTCCATCACACTGCCCCCATTACTGCCCAATGCCACTCCCCTCAACCATCATCATCCCAGCAGCTCCACTGCACCGTACACCACACCCATGCACTCACTGAAGCATCACACTTTTACTTTGTTACCAGCAGCACTGCTCAAATGAAGTTAGCCTCAAAGTGATTAGTGATTGCTGCAGTGAACTGTTGTGTGCAGCACTTTCTTTGTTACTAGTTTGTCAGCCTGAATTTATCAATCTCACAATAAGTTCTCTGGTTGCACTGTTGAACACTGTTACTGCAATATTTAATTGAAAATACACAATAGCTTTTACCTGTCTCACCTTGTACAAACTTTATTTTGTAGTATTGTGGTCTTTTATTACATTCCGTTTTAATTTTTTAAGTATTTAAGTTGTTTTATTTTCTTAAAGGCTGATACTTATTTCTGTGCAATGACAGTAAAGGAATTATTATAATAAATAACAATCTTGAAGCAGCACATTTTCCCCGCAGCTGATGCGCGTTTGCCTCGATGTGGGCATTTATGTGCGTGAATTCAGCAGTGTTGATATAATAATAATTTATGCAGCCCCATATGGCAACAACACAGCGGTGACGGAGGTAAGTATGATAGGAAAAACAAAAACACATTCAGCTGTGAACCTGCAACATTTCACAGGACTCATTTTGGCAAGACGTGACAATCGCCTTGTCGTCGGATTGGTCAGACTTGATCCCGACTAGGCTGAAAATTCCCAGAGAGCATGACAACTCACACCTTTTAGTAAATACTAGCTTCTGAAGTGCCAGTTAAAGGACTTTGATGACTGTTATTTCAAAATCCATACTGTTGATTTGTACATGCTGAGTAACACGAAATATTCACAGGGGGCCAGATGTCATTTATTGCATTAGTAACAGATGATATCGTGTCAGCAGCTTTTGCATTAAATGACAGAAAAGACTTTCACTGAGACTCTGTCATGTCTGGTAAATACTGTCCTCTGAAGCAGTATGCAGAAGAGGATAAAGCGTATTTTTCACAGAGCATTAAAGAAACACCAAGAAAACAGCTGCATTTAAATGTTTGAATACTGCAGACTTCCAACACACCCAGAAGCATCCTGTATGTTAACTGCAAATGGCATGCTAATGTTTGCAAATGCTATGAGTGCAATTTCTTAGTGTATACCAAAGGGAACTAAAGAGACAACAGAGGAAAAACATGCGGTACTTGCTCACTGTGATTTAGAAACTGCTTCTTTAAGTGGAGAAATTATAAGGGGCGATTATCTTCCTTACTGATTCAATGTTAAGTCGATAAAATGTCCACATCCATGTCCATGTAATAAGATGTCAACAACATGAAAGTGGAGGTGATACCCTCATCTAGGCCTGGGCAATAAAACAATAGCAATATGTATCGGCAATAGACTCTTCATCTATAACAACAAGAATTTATTTAATTTTTTTAATTAGTTCAATGACAAAAAACCCAAACATTTTATTGGGATTTTTCAGCTATATATCAGCCAGCCCTATCCTCATGTACTTCAATTAACTTTGATCTAGAACTTTAAGACAAATGTATATTTATTAAGAGTTTGCAGCGCTAGACTAATTTTCATGGCAATGATTACCCCTGTGTATTATCGAGTTGATTGCTACGAGGCTGCCCATGCATGAATTCATACTCTCTAGTGGTATGTAAGTTAGTTAGGTGTAAGGAGATGAAAATGCAGGTCTAACCTTGAGCAGCAGTTTGCAGATCTCGTATTTGCCCTTGGCAGCGGCTTCGTGGAGCGGCGTGAACTTCCACAAGTCAGCCACATTGACCGAGGCTCCGTGTCTGACCAGCAGCTCGGCCACCTCGTAGTGACCGTACGAACAGGCGTTATGGAGGGGGACCAGACCACTGTAAGGGAACAACAGCAGTTATACAAACACACAGAATTATATTAATACCTTCCATAACTTGCAGATGACTTTCTAATTTATTATGTAAACCAAAACGGACCAAAATTTGATTATAAATGTTTATTTTTATGTAAACCACAACTTAAGTATCACACCCTTTGTCCTTGGCGTGCACATCGGCCCCGTGGTGCAGCAGGTACTCCACCACCGACACTCTGTTGTAGCCAGCAGCAAAGTGAAGGGGAGTGGAGTGTCGTCCCTCCAGGTCTCTACAATTCACATTCTGAGCCGTACACAATGACTGGAGAGAGGCAGAGGAGGAGACAAAGAGGGAAGATTAAAATTAATTTCAAATTAAAGAGCTGATCAACCAAAGAGCCATGCAGAAATAAATCTATTCTTTATGGCTGCATAACCAATCGTGTAGTAATTGTAATCAAGATTTATTTTAATTATCCTTTTTATTATTTAGCTCTAAAAAGAGAAAGTTCTTCTGGAGAAAGATGTGATTCAAAGTTTAGATCACAAAACACATTTTTTCTCTGATAACTGGGGGAAATCTAATATAATTTACATATAAATACGAACAGGGAACATTTATCTGATCTGCCTTGAATATTTAGTTCAGTTAGCAGGTTTAGTCTCTACATTTCTGTGCCATTTTTCATCATGTTAATTACTTGAAATTTACCTAAAAACATTATGTTATAGCTAGGCCAGATTGAAATATCTCAACGTTTTGATGGAAGGCCCAGAGTGTAACATTTAGGAGGATCTATTGGCAGGAATGGAATATACTATGCAGAGGTATGTTTTCATTGGTGCATAATAACAAAATTGCCTCCTCAGATGTTATTTGTGTTTAGTGCTAATCAGCATGCTTACACACAACAATAAGATGGTGAACAAGGTAAACACTATGACATATAAGTGTGAAACTTGACTGTAGAAAAACATAATCATGTTCTCATTGTCTCATGTTGACGTTACATATAAAGTGGACTGCAATTGACAAAATATAAATGTAAACCCTTTTCCAATGTAAATAAAATAGGAGAAATATCCACAGGGAACATCTTGTAAAGAGGTGATGTGTCATACTTATATACCATCCAGACTCAAAAGTACATCATGATTTTTATTCCCTAAAAAAACACAACCAACAAACCGAAACCAACATCAAACAAGACCAACAGTGCTTCGGAGAAGGCTAGAGAAACAAAGAAAGAGAAAACAGTAACACCGTTCCTCCGCCCACGCTTTATTATTTATGATGAAAAATATATCAGTGAAATGAAATAGGCGGAAAGAAAAGGCATTTATGGACAAACAGCAACAATAATACTGAAGTTATTAACTGAAGTTGAGGAAAAAAATGCATGTCTGCTGAACTGAGGCAGAGCCCTGCTGCCCTGCTGTTCACAGAGAATATCAACGCTACTTTTCTGTAATTTCAGACCCAATTACACCCATAGCTCAGAACTAAGAGGAGACACAGTAGGACATCTATTTTAAAGTTTACTTCCACCACTTTCTAGAATGTTGTTCAAGAGGAAATTAAATGAAACATCCTGCTGGCAGACTTATTCTCCATTATTCCGCACTTAAACTGCAGTGTGGCTTCTGTTTATTAGGGCTGTGTAATCTGCACCAGGGCGAGTGTGACGTGAGTTCTGCATAGAATTAAAATGATGTGATTAGCTTTTAGTTTTCTTGTAGACATTAGGTTTTCACGGCAGGAACATTGGTAGGTATGTGGAGACGTGCTGGTGCGGGTACGATGAAATGGGGTCATTTATGGATCAATTTCAGTGCTGCAGCTACTTCTTCTTTTTGAGGCTGTTACAAAGATATTTCTATCAATATAATGAGACATTTTCTGTAATCATACTCGCTGACATGACAAGTACACGGTGTCCAACTGGGTTTTTTCCATTTCACAATCTAAATATATAAATGTACAAGAGTAAAGAAGACTCTACATATAGCAGCAATATCAGTAATAATCAATGTAGAGCTGCAACGTTTAGTCGATAAATCCATTAGCTGACTAACAGAACTTGAAACTGCAACTATTAAATCAAATTATTGTTTTAATAATTTCTTAAAGCAAGGGGATCAAACTAAAGTGAGAATTTCATTATTTTCTTTTCTTTTCTTTTTTTTATTTATTATTTTATATATGATAGCAAACTGACCATCTTTTGGCCTGTTGTTCAGACAAAACAAAACACAGAAGGACTTCACACTGGGCTGTGGGGAATCATATATTTTCACCCTTTCCTGATATTTTATAGACAAAACGATTGATTAATTAATCAAGAAGATTACCTGATTAATCAATGATAATTAACTTTAATTGCAACTCCAAAAAGAGAAATTAATTTCTACAGCAAAACTTTATATAAACAAATCCCCATCTCTATTTGCTTCAGTCCCCAAAAGGTTGCCTACACTGAAGGGTGAATCTCATTTAAATGGTGCATTAGATAAAGACAACATGCTGGGGTTTGCAATTCACATAGTTGCTAAAAGCTCCACTTTGTTCACCAGCTAGTCTTTAACTGTGTCTGTCTGTTGTTTGGTGCTAAGCAGGTAGCGCACAGCTGCTTTATTGAGCTTCTTCTCTGAAAAAAGCTGCCTGCTGCAGCACAAAGCAATGCTATGTGAGCGCTGAGAGCGAACCAAAACAGTTGTGTGCCGAACAATGAATTGAAACTCACTCACTACAAAAGGTCACTACGAGGACCCCGTTCATAGTGTCATTTGATACATTATTATAGCTACTATGTCTCAAATAAATGTCTTTCTTAGTACATGTAGCTGTAGTTTCTGTAATGTGGAGCAATAAATAACAGAGCACATCATTTATAATGATATTTACTGCTTTGAATGATGTAGAAAATGTTTCTGAATGACACAACCCCGCTCTTTTTTTTACCTGTCGTCTGGGGTGATCATCTCAACATTTAAACTGATGGCAGGAATCAGTTCAGGAACAGTGTTATTTTTCTTAAAACGTCAATCCGTAGCTCCGCCATACTGTTAACCCTAGTCCGTGTATGTGTGTGTGTGTGTGTGTGTGTGTCAGGTAAAAAGAGACTGACAGAAAGCCAGACCGGAGATCATCGTCTGTTCTGCTACGATCCCCTGCCAACCTGCCAAAGCATCACACTTCAGAGGATGACAGACCCTCTTCATCTGGATAACCCCATTACTGTCTGTCTCTGCGGGTAAAGACGCAGATTTCCACTCTACACCAAATACTTCTGTCAAATACTTTAGCGAATCTCACCAGGTCCTGACATTTGGTGGGTGGTTTTATCCAAGGCATATTATAGTGCATCATAAGCGCCTACATTTTTAACACGAGTGGGCCCAGTGCAAATCAAACTGCTAACAGTGGCGGCATACTGGGCTACAGACAATGATTGTGATTATACTGAACTGTTATGGTGGAAAATCTTATGAGATGGGAAATCTGGCTTTTAACAACAAGAAAGGTTTGCAGTTTTACTGGAATCAATGTGGACAACAATACAAAGACATGAGCAGAAAACATTTGATATCCACCTGACATTTAACAAAAATCACTCCAACCAGAACTCCATAAAAGCAACAAGAACAGCCTCAAAGGTCAGAACATTTTCTTCTGTTTTCATTTAAAAATAAAAAGCCTGCGTTGGCGGACAAGATTATCTGTGCCAAAATTTCAATGAGTCGCTGTCAAATTTAAATTATCATAATTAGTTTTTAGCCCATCTTCGTAATTAATGAAAGTCTTTCATTACTAGTTAAACAATTAGTTTTTTTTTAGATTTAAGGAGAGTAAAGTAACATATTTCTCATGGTTTTGGGTGTCTGAGCATTTTTAAGGTTTATAAAATTCAGCAGCTGGTCAAGTTTCATACATTTTTCTGGACAGGATCCCACATTATTTTCAAATCATAATGAGGCAATTAAAAACGATTTCTGCTCCCTCAGAGCAAATTATTCCCCACGACTGGTGTCATTACACATACCAAGGATACTGAGGTCATGTTCTTTTTTCCATGTCCATTTCCATTTTTCACATGAGGGCAATGTTGATTGTTTGGAGCAGAAAGAATTGTCTCTTTTCTCTCATTTAACTCTTTACTACCCACCACTTTCCGGGTGTTGTCTGCCTCAATGAAAGCAAATTGATTATTTTTAATTGGTAAACCCTTGCATTGAACTCAGACATAAAGCGTTGATTATGTTGTTGGTCTGAAGGCAGAGAGACACCATATATACTGTATCCCAATGTTTCATTTGCATACTTTCTAGGCAGTGCATCTGCAGGACATATTTACCACAAGTGAGTCATCCATACAAAAAAAAAAGAAGATTGGGGTGACAAATAACAACCAAACTACCTTGACAGTGTCCAGGTCTCCGGCTTTAGCAGCTTCCAGAAGTCTGTAGTCCACATCTGAGTTTCTCACCGGCACGTTCTCTACAGGGCAGAACACACAGGAGAACATAGATGAAACAAGGCTTAGAACAAACACTTGTAAAAGCGAAATGAAATGATATTAGACAAAAGTCACACAGGATGTCACGGCTGCATGGGTTGTGCCACAGAGCTAGAGCAGTGGTACTCTCAGTTCACTTTACACACATACATGTCAGTTTGTGGACAACTTAAAGGGCAGGCATCTTGCATCAGAAAATGTCAAACAACTTACAAAACTAGATTTTCTGTTAAAAATGTTGTTAAATTAGCAAATTTCTACAATCATCGCTTTTGATTTTCACCTTGATAATAACTGACAGAAGAGAATGATTCACCCTCTTCCTGTCACTCCATACAGCAGAACGTACAACTGACTAATGAATCTTTGAGAATACTCTTTCTTTGGGAGAGAATTTTGCTCTTGATGATTACAATGCTGTGTTTGGCAGATCTGCTGGAGGTCTCTCCACAGCCGCTCTCATTAAAGCAACAGTTTGACATATAGAGAAACATATTGTTCAGTTCCTTTTTGTTATATGGCTACAGACAGTAGCCAGTTAGCCTAGCTCATTCTAGGAGGAGGGGAAAGCAGCTAGCCTGGATGGTGAAAGGGTGAAAATAAACATAAATAAATAATCCAGCACATCTAAATCGCACACTAATTAAAACATTATATATCTTCTCTAATCCGTGCAAACACAGACACATTGTGGTTTTCCAGAGGGTTATGTGTCAGGCATGACATGGCAAAGTAACTTCTTGGAGTTTCAGCTGGCAACCTCACAGTTCTTCTTTTTTACAATTTAAACAAATGAGATGTTAATTAGTAAGTTTTGCCAGTGCTGGTAGGTGGTGGATTTTAATTTTGTTACCTTTGGAGAGAGCTCGGCTAGGCTGTTTTCCTTCTTTCAACTCTTTATAAAGCGTAGCTTAGCATTTAACGGACTTCATGTTTACCCAACGTGAAAGTGGTATTCATTTTCTCCCCCTACTTGCAGAGAAAGCGAATAAGTGCATTTCCCAAAAGGACAAACACTTTAATATAACCACATGCAGTTACATCTGCCATGTGGCAGGTTTTTTTTGCAGATTTTTATTTATTCATTCAAGTGCTCACACGTCATTTGATAGATTATCACATGCACACGCAATAAATGTTTGCCACAGTATGAGACCAGTTAAAGATACTGGGTTGTTTGTTGATTGGCTGGTTAAATCTGCACCTTCAGCCTAGAAAACTATTAATACTGACCTTTTAAAAACATTTTCCATTAATCCCACTGTTGCTAACTACTGCATAGCAACCAAAACACTGCACCTGCACATCTGCACACCCAGCCACCCACACATACACACAAAGGGGGCTTACCGTTAAGTATTTGCTGAACAGCTTCATTTCCCATTTGAGCAGCAGTGAAGCCCTGCAGTGACACCAGCGAGGCGTCTGCCCCGTATCCTAGCAACAGCCGGCAGGTCTGGAGGTGGCCTGCCAGTGCGGCGCGGTGCAAAGCTGTCTGACCCAGCGTGTCCAGGGCGTTCACCTGCAAACACAAACACCTTTGTACTGTGGTACTTGAAAGGACCTTCAGTTGTTCCCCTGAAACTGCCTCATTTCTTTAAGAAAACATCCACTTTTAAATGCTCTTAAAACTGCCATTTTATTAAATGTTATTTTTAATGGAAATTATGTAATTTACTTTTCTGGTTAACTTATTTTCCCTCAAATAGCCTAATCAGAATGTCAGGTTCAGCTAATAATTTCATACATTTTGTCAACCTGTAATTACAAGTTTCCACCTGGATGAAGTTCTGATCTGAGACACTGATCGGCAAAGATCTGACCGTTACATACTTCCTTAGCTTTTCTATAAAAAATACAACCAATAAAATTAGATATTTGAAAATGTTTAAATATGTAAAACAAACATGTGGTCCTCTTTGATAGCACTTGTTTTGTGTCTCAAATAACATCACACCAGCCCTAATTGGCTGGCACCAGTGCCGTCTATGTCAGAAGGGGATGGGACTCCCTCCTTTTTTTCGCCCAGTAGCTGCATGCAATTAAAGCTTTTTAGCGAATTCACCCCCGCTAGGGTCTGCAGCACACTAGTTAACCATGGCTACATCTCAAGAGACAGACGAGGGATGCGAGGGTTTTGGCTTCAGAGATTGTGGGTCGGAGTCAGTTGACTCTGAGCACCTCTGAGTCCATCTTCCTGGCTAACTCTTGCGGGGCTTCAAAGCCCTCCGCTGCCGAGGCACGTAACCAACCCTCCCTGTCGTCTTTACTGGATGGAAACTGCCTATCTTCCCGGAGCTAAGATAAGCCCTACAGCGAGAAACATCCCATCATGGGAGTCTCCCTGTTGGACTGTGAGGGGCCAGATGCCCCCGATAGAGCCCAGACATAGACCCACCTTCACCCAGAGGCTCTCCCCTCTTCCTTGGATCCGTTTCTCCCCTCAAAGACAGACCGCTTCCAGTCTATCCTCACTGATAAATGTTACAAGGCTCTGTCAGTGAGAGCCCTCAAGATACCGCAGATTCCTCCTTGTGGGAAGAAATTTGCATTATAACCGACCACATCCTTTGTCTCCATGAAGTGGCCATACAAGCTACAGGAAGAGCCATGGGCCTGATGGTTCTTCAGGAGAGAGTGCACTGTCCTTCAGGGTCTCTTCGGCTCAGCTGTCACTTCCATGCAGAAGAGATGTGACGAGAAAAAGAGAGATGATGAGGCGCTGAAAATTTGCCTACCGAGGAAGACTCAGCCCACCGCTCCCACGCCCCCATGCCAGTCTGGCTGTCTCTTACTCAGCTCCTGCTTTTAGGATCCCCAAAGTATTTAAAGCGCAGGCAGCCCCCCAGGCCTCCCCAGGTCATCATGTTTTGGTGAGGATGAAATATTCCACCATAGTGGCTTACATCAACAGGCGGGGGGAGGATGAGTTCCCTCAAGTTACACACACTCGCACACAGACTGATAGTTTGGAGCAGGGTGCACCTGCAGACTCTGAGAGCGACACATGTACTAGGCATTCTAAATTACGGGAATAATCTGTTTACCCAGGGGAAACCCACTGTACGCAGACTGGAAGCTTCAACTCCAAGAGGTGAAACAGCTTTGGTCGTGGTTTGGTCAGGCAATCGTGGACGTTTACGCAACAGTGGAGAATGCGTATTGCCCCCTGTTCTTTTCTCTACACAACTAGAGGGCTCCGCAGGGGGTGGATGCACTGGAACACAAGTAGCTGAAGACTGTCCTGTATGTTTTCCCCCCAGTCCATGATCCTGATAGTGCACGTTGGCCAGGGAAGCACTGGCTAGCGGAGCTTTATCTACTGTCTGGCTGTTAGCACTTCGCAGAGACCTGCTGTCTCAGGCAAGGGGGGAAATATTCTACCCCGACCCAGAGGGGCTAGCTCTGTGGGCTTGACCTGTGAGTGGTTCAACCTGAATACAGGTGGACTCCCTCATAGTGTTATTGACACTATTCAGTGCGCCAGAGCCTCTTTGACGAGGACGTTACATGAGCATGAATGGCATGTGTTTGAGAGCTGGTGCTCAGAGTCACAAGCTGTTCTTTTTTAGTGTTCTGTAGCAGTTCTGTCATTTTCACAGCACCTTATTGAGAAAGGTAAGGACTTCTCAACCATCAAGGTGTACTTGGCAGCTCTTTCTGCCTGGCCCCATCATGGGATTTTCCCCCTGTACTAGATGCTCTCTCCTGTTCCCCTTTTGAACCACTGGAACAAGTAGAGGTGAAAATGTTGTCCCTGAAGACGGCCTTATTGCTAGCTTAAGCCTCGGTTAGCCTGGCCTTTATCCCGAAGGTTATGGGCTCATGCTCCTCGCTTTTTATACCCCGGCACAGGCGTTTTAATACTCGTGCACTATGAATTTATTTGGACAGGACCCAGGGTTTCAGACAGGCTGACCAGTTATTTGTGTCTTGGGCAAAACGACATGAGGGAAAGCCTGTGTCCAAGCAGCGGAGGCGTTCCCATAGCGAGACACTCACTTCTAATCAGAGAACCGGGGTTATATTTATAACCTTGGGTTATGTGGATTCTGTGAAGTACATTAAATGACCAAAAAAAAGAAATGTCAAATATGATCCTGGAAGATGTAGAAATGGTTACCTTTAATTATTACATACTGTGGTTCAGTTAATAGCTATGTTTGGGACCATGTTAAAAATGGAAATATCTATATAATTTTCAATTCTACTTTCTGTTAATGTAAATCTGTGCTCCTTCCATACTGAATGTCATCCTGTATATAGGATATATATATTTGAAATGGATTAAGGCGGAAGTAAAGAGATAAATAGATAATTGGATGAGGATGAAGATGAAGATAAGTCTAACCTTGGCACCGTGTTTCTGTAGCACCTCCATAATGTCATTATGAGCACGCTCTGCTGCCACATGGAGAGGAGTCATGAAACTACAGAGACGAGAGAAAAGGAGGAGATAAAGGTGAGCGTGTTCAACATTAGTATGTGTTGTTTCTGTTCATGCATACATGCAGTAAACACTTAGACATCTAGTCATCTAGTGTGCAACTGTTTTAATTAAGAAACACTGTCAAACAACAACAGTCTTCGTTTTCTCTGTAACTCTATGATGAACCATTACACTCCTTCAGTGCAAAAATACCAATATCAATTTATTAACATCTTGTATAAAAAGATAACCATGAGCTCCATTTATGAGCAGATAAAAACAGTACTCACTCTTTATTCTTCTCATTTACGTTGGCGCCTTTCCTCAACAGCAGCTCCGTCACCTGTTTCCTCTTCGGGTGCGGCGATGCTACTGCACAATGCTAACACACACACAGAAACATCATCTTAGCACCTGTACGCCAATGAAGGAATTACAATCAAGTGTATGTTTATCTTACCAGCGCAGTCTCGTGTGTGTGAGGGTGTTTGAAATTGATGATCTCCAGCGCCAGGGTTTTCTTAGCCTTGGCCATGTCAGCTTCCCGAGCAGCTTGAAGCAGTGAGTGGCCCTTAAACTCATCTGAACACACACAAAATGTCAACATGTCAGGAACAGAGAGAACAGCCTCAGTTTCAGTTTGAAGAACAATTTTAAAGTTTATTTTGACAGGTTTCCTACAAATCCAAAAGTTGCATGAGTATGTAACACACAGCAGAGCATCTGGGGCTTCAACTGAATGAAAAGCTTGACCAAAACAGGAGTTACGAGGTTCTCACCCAACCGTAACAATACATTCTTTCACTTGCAATGACCTTGCAGCATACCGATACTACAGAGTTTTCTACAGCAAGCTAATAACTTCTGATGCAACAGTCTGTGTGCTGGAGTTGGAGCGGAAACAAGTGATTTTCCCCCAGAGGACTGAAAATTACAAACAACAAACTATTTTGCTTCAGAAGCATTTCAAGCTGCATAAAAGGAGCCTGTTGAAGTCTATCTACCGACTGAGCAGCAGCATTCATGCATACATAATCAGACATTCAGACAAATGGTATGAGCGCCACACAGAAGTCACATCTTCAAGGGAAAGTGGTCAAGAGAGAGAAAATCAACACCACAAGCAGCATCTGCAGTTTATTTCTTTAAGAGAAACTTGAAGTCATTTTTCATCCGTGTTAGTTTGCCTTAGTGCCTCCTAAACTTTTGGGTTTTGTGACCCTTAAAAATAAAGAAATGTCTGCTTTTGAGAACTCATCAATGCTAACAGCCTTGGTATGGACATCTGCTGTGAACAGTTGAACCAAAGGGATATTTTCTTCTCTGAAGTATCCATTATTTCTTAAAAAAGGATCGTGAGCATAATTTTGTACAACAGAAACTGTTGAAAGCCTTTAAAGATGCTTCAGATAGGAGATCCATTACGGTGAACATTTAATCTGATTTATAAATTGTTGTTATTGTTGTTGCATTAAATGACCAGCATCCAGGATTTGACAACATCAACCAATCAAATCTACATGAAGTCCATGGTTTTATGTATTTCCTCAGCTTCCTATTAACTCAATGATGTTATTCATAATCCATAGGGACCTTTTAAAGGAAGAAACTTGATTGGAAACTTGGGAAATGCTAAAAATTGAAGGTTGATACCACTCTCATATCATTTTAGCCTGGATTTGTCCAAAAGGTAATATAACCCACCTTCCACTATTTAACATGTCACACCTTACTTCTTTAATTTGTACAAAAACTATAAAATTGATGGGATGTGGTTTTACAGGTGGTTGTGTGCTGGACTATTTCTTGGGGCAGTCACTGTCTCCACTGGTTGCCTGGCAGCAAGGAAGTGATAAGCGTATTTCCCAAAATGTGAAACTATTCCGATTAAATACTATACATGGATTACTTATTTAAGACCAGATACCCTGAACTATTTTCACATCTCTTTGTCATCTGGGCAAACAAGATTTTTTTATATATTGAGTTTCTAATGTCAGTAAAAAAAAAAAAATTGTATCCCACATCCGTATTCATAACAGAGAAAAAGGCTTAATGTCAGCGTATCAAAGGTTCAATAAAACTAATTTTAACTGCTTTTCACAGTCTGTGCTGCTCAGATAACAATTCCCTTCAGAAAAAGAAAAAAGGCTGGCGCAGAATTTAGTCTGAACTCTTGCGATCTATACCTACCCCAAACACAGAGAGACACACCCTATAAGCTATTGTCTAATTAGGTGGAACACCCCTTTACCAGCTAGAGGACACATCGACACATTAGAAGTATACAATACATACCCAAACATAAAATACATAGCATGACATAAAAGAATACCACGGAGTACGTCGGACTTTGAAAACAAATATCTTCAGTTTTAGATTTGTATTCCTGTGACGAGTCTTGTTGCAGCAAATGACCCGCTGAGGCACGTTTTCAAAGAAACACCCTCATCAAAGAACAAACAACTAACAGGAGCAATTGTCCTGCAGTTGCAAACAAACTTAAGATGGCGTGTGATTCGTGTAGCATTTGATTTTTGTTCTGATCTGCCTCATTACAAAGATAAAGCAACAAGTGCAGTGGCAAGAGAGCTGACTCACTAATTAACTTTCAAAGACTTGCAGAGAGCTTTCTGGCAGAGACAAAGACTTGGCTTGTCTGCCTTGACTCTGTGGTTGCTGCAGACGTAAAGGAAATCACTGTAATTAATTGTAGAGCTCTCTCTGTTTAATTAACACATCATACATCTGCAAAATGCTCCATTAAGAGAACACATCTGTGGGGATGTAGAGTTTTTTTTTACACCTGCACAAATGCAAGTCTAATGTTCCAAACATAAATAAACCAAACCAGTATTTTTAAAAGCAACAGTGGAGAAGAAGAGTAAAATTGTGAATTTTTTTTTTTTTTTTAATACACATCAGAATCGCTTTGAAATTCAAATGGAACATGATGTATGGTTCTTGAAGGATATTTGGAGTGAAAGGTTTCTGAAAATTGCCCACAGCCTCATATCTTGAGGTGAAGGTGTAGTGCTTCTATGAATGAGCTACTTTTTTTTTTCAAAAGGCAGGAAAAAAAAGGTTATAAATGGGACTAACTCACTACTGACTGGGGAAATAATGGACTTCCTGAATAACTCTACCTGTATCAGTTTTTATGCCAGCGTATGTAGTGTGTGTGTCTGCATACATTTACACACAGAGGCTGAGCTTTTTCCAGGATCCTTTGCACTTAATTGTGTTCTGCTTGCTTTCTTTAGGAAGTGTAAAGTGTTTATGTAGAGTACATCTTCCAACTTGTTTAATCATCCAAGCTGCAAGATGGTTTCTTCCTTTGGATTATATACTTTTCTGTGTACGCAGCCCAATTACAAGCTAAGCAGGGTTCTTTTTTCTTACATAAGAGATTTTGGTACTAAGGACCAAAACTCTTGTTCATGTTTTAAACAGTTTCTAAAAATAATGGACTTGTCTGCACTTTTCCTCTGTGGTGTTTCATCCATTTGAGCACGCATGAAAGAAACAGCTGAATATAAGCAGCAGTCGAGTCCAAGCATGTGGAATTGCTGGCTATGAAATGTTAGTATGTCAAACACATAATTGCTTTATTTCAGCTCTCAGTCCTCTAATTAAAAGACTGATATTCACCTTTTAGATTGTCTCAATGCTGAAATAAGTTCAAATCAAATGTTCCAAACATAACTGTTGTAAATACACCCTTCCTGAAACAACCTATTCATTAATTCAGCACCATGACACATTTAGCAGCGCTGTACACTGCAGCTGCACTTTATGTAAATTAAGTACCACACTCACATGTAAGTCTCTCTTTCAGCTCAGGAGTGGGCGCCATGTCCACAGAGCTCTTGCTGTGGCAGTTGAGCAGGGTCGGGTCAGCCCCGTGGCTCAGCAGTAGAGAGCAGACCTCCACTCTGTTTTTAGATGCGGCTTCATGGAGTGGGGTGAACTGCCATAGATCCATGGCGTTCACACATGCTCCATGCTGAAAAAAATGATGGATGAATAAATGGGGGAGAAGCAGCAAGTAACAGGACGAAAGAGAGGACAACAAAGTTTGGGTTGTTTTGAAATATTTTTTTGACTAGTTCTAAAGGGAGGTAAGCAGTCAGCCCTTACACACACTATACACAAATACTGGCGCAAAGCTGTTACTTGTTTTTAATAAAATCCACAAAACAGTGGGACTTGATTCTCTTTGGATTCATTTCCATTTTTGGGGGGAAAATCATAACCAAATGAATGAAGAATCATGTGCCACTGCCTCGGTAAATACTGAGCTAGTATGTGTGAGTGTGTGAGTGTGTACCTTTAGCAGCAGCTCAGTAACTTCATAGTGTCCATAGGAGCAGGCATTATGTAGAGGCACCAGACCACTGGAAGTGCAAAACAAAGCTGTCTAATTAACAATAATTATACATTTTAACTATTCAAAAACAGAACTTAACACCATCATTCATTACCTGTCCATTATATTTTTCTTCTTTAGTTCAGTTATGAATTTTGTAACAAGACCAAGAGTCTACAGCCATGTTAGCAACTCTGTAAGGCTGTACTTAGGCACAGCTGTGCTTTGAGCTAACATGCTGATGTTTAGCAGGTATAACAATCCCATGTTCACCATATTAGTTTAGCATGTTAGCATACTAACATTTAACAATTAGCACTAAACATTAAAGAACAGTAGAGGCTAATGGGATGTCATTAGGTATCGGTTAAACAAACTTTGACCTCACAGTGGCGCTAGGAGAATAGTCAGAGGATCACCGCAAGTCAGTAAGGAGCATCCTCTGGGGACAGTGAATGTCTGTACAAAACCTGTATGTAACAGTTGTCAGTGTGGACCAAAGTGGTGGACCAACAGACAAACCAACATTATGATCCTGACAGCAACGCTGCTAGCATGGCTTAAATTCAATACTTTCACCAAATAAATTCTGATTTACTTCTACCTCTCTATGCTCTAATATCAGAGGATGTACATTTTCTGCCTAAATCTTATGAGCTTAATTTTAGTTTTAATAACATCAATTGAAGCCAACAGCTGGAATTAGTCTTAAATAGCAACTACACTTGAAACTCCCAAACCTACAATCAAAATGAATCACGTCTCAGTAAGTGCACGGCCTAGTTTTATCTCAGATTTATTCAGAAATTAATTCTGATGCATAATGCAGGATACATTTGACAACATTAATAGAATTCCATTCAGTATTTCATGTGGTATGTTCATCCAATCAAGTGCAGCAAGGACTCTTGATGATATCTCAGGAATGGAAAGCACAGTTGATCATATATTAACCAGCATACTTGCTACCACTACTGCCACTGAAATATGGTATTATAGATTTAGATCTTAAAAAAGTCAAAATTCTGGCACACTGCCCTCCCATTTCCTGTCTTCCTTTAAACCCTCTTTACTATTTTGTTTTAATTTATTTGTACGTACCCTTTGTCCTTGGCGTGAACATCTGCTCCGTGCTGTAGTAACAGCTGAACTATCCTCACCCTGTTGTATCCTGCTGCCAGGTGAAGTGGAGTGGACTGGAGACACAGGGAGAGACACAGAAAGAGACAAAGGGGGACAATAAGAGCAAGAGGAAAGAGAGAAAGTAGAGGCGGGGGGGGGTAGGTGGGAGGAGAAAAAAAAATAGAAAAATATAAAGTATTAGCCCACATGTTCGTTCTACAGCACGACAGCCTATCATCATGCTTTCATAAAATCAATGTCTTGACATCACATGTATACAAGGAGTCCAATAAGGAGGACACATTCTGGTTCTCTGTGAGTGGCCAGATGTACAACATTTCAGAGAGAAATGGGTTTTACCACAACTGAACAGGGATAACACCTGACTATAATGTATTTCCTCCATTAAACTGATGAAAAGCTGCAGTTCTGAATGCTTTAAGATGGTACTGAGGTAAGATGGCTTCAGCTGTCTGTGCAAAGTTTCTTCCATATTCTCTCAGCAAAGGCCATTCCTCCTCAAAGCTGGAGTGACACCCAGACTGGTGGAGAAATGTTACGGCTGCGAGAATGTCCCCATTATTCAGTCAAATGGAACTTGTGACAGGAAAAAAAGTAATGGAAAACCTGCCCGTAAGTCATGATATAAAAGCCATTTTACAACACTGGATGTACTAGAGATCACATTGTGAATATGACTGGGATTAAAGCTTCTACATGCAGCAGGCAGATATAAATGGTCTTAGATAGTGCATGTGGAGCTAACTGGGATTGTGTTGCATTTTTGGGCAAGTGCATCAAGTCCATTTCACACATGCCACATGACCTTCCAGAAACTTTCTGTCTGAGTCATGCTCCAGACAGTCAGTCCATATTCCAGAAAAGCTGACACAACAGTTATTGGTCTACAAAACCAACTAAAATTCCTCTGAATGAAACGCTTCACAATGCTACTGTGAGAAAACAGTTTAAGACTCCTGGGTAAAAGTGCCACAATTTAGTCTAGAAAAAAAAATGCATTTCTTTTGCATCCCAAATTGTACTCCTATTGTATTGGACTAGCAGTAGAAATCTCAAATACCAAAAATCTGGGCACACAAAATCAAAAGGATCTTAATAGCTAGATACCACTGGTGGAAACTGAGAAAACATGTTTTCTTCCAAGTAATGATGCACTGATCCAGCTTTTGTGTTCTCCAATACCAATTCTAAATTTGGGATATTTGCTGATACCAAGTACCGATGGGATACCAATGCTCTCAAAAAATGTAAATCTGTGAAACACTTTGTAATCATTTATGTACGGTAACATGAGATTAGAGATTGCTGTGGCACTAAAAACTAAGTGAGCAGTATGCTATGATGCTATGACAGAATGAATGGAAAAACAAAATGTTATAATGGCATTGACAAAGAAACTATTATGTGTGGATTGGTCACTTTGTGGCTAATACTCAGTTTGCTTCATAATGCACAGATACCACTCCAGCATATGTGATCAGTGCATTTCTAGTTGTATGATGATATAAATGTTTTCCTATCAGACCTATCTAATTCTACTGTATCATGTACTGCTTGTTTATTTTAGAAACCAGAACATTCTTTGCTTCGTTCACAAAATTTTTGTTTTAAAATGACTGCCTACTAACCATTCTACAAGTCACCCGAGCAGAGGATGACATCAAGGAAGAAAGAAGTTCATTGTGTGGTATTTTTTCTCAAAGAAAAACCATTCTAAATGGAGATATTCTTTAAATAATGGTTGGTTTATGTGTGAAAAGGGCTTAACCCATCCTCTTAAACACAATAACCTATGCATTTGGCCACTATATTTTCATTCCACCTGTTTTCAGTGACGTAACAACAAGATCCCACACGGTGATGGCATGGAAAGAGGTTGCCTGATTTATCAACTTTACATTTTTTCCCCATAGGAGGTAAATAAAGAGGAGTTCTTGTTTTTTTTATATGACCCTTAAAAGCTATCGCAGCCACATGTGACTGCTCCATGGCTTTTTAGACTCTACGTCCTTGTGTGACAAGATCTGTCTCAACATCATCATCATCAGCATCAGCATCAGCATGTGAGCTGAACCGGCTACACCGATTGGCCGGCCAATTGTCAATGAGGTAACAACTCTCGACTCTTTTTTTAGTGCCATTACCCCCTGGGATCTGGTGTGAAAGTGCAAATATTCCTCCACATCATGCATACAGTCATGTCATCGCAATGCAAGTGAATCTGCTCTGAAAGAAGAACGCTGGTGAGTCGTGACTGTGGGGCAGCAACAGGCTGACGATGTCGGTGAGGAAGTAAAGTGTTGGAGCTGGTGATATGATGGCTGCACAGTGGCACACTTCAGATCTTACGACAAAACATCAGCATGATCTCAATCCAACAAACCAACTACAACCTCAAAACAGTGCATCAATCTGAGCTGAGCAATCCAGCTGCAGGCAAACAACTTACCAGCATTTTTTGGGATGTCAACTGCTATCAATGTCGGCAAAAACATTAACAAAACAAGGAAGAAAAACGACAAAAACAAAATAGCACAGAAATCAAATAATGATGCCAGTATACAGAAATGCTACAGTATAACAGACCACAGCATGTGGCTTGACCACAACCACTGGCTGGATTATACAGAATACTGGTATTGGTGTCCTAGATATGCTCATGGATCACTTAAAGAGGATAATTTCTCTTTAAGAAGTCAGGCTAGAACATTATTTCATAAGCCATGATGCAAAACCTGGGCAACATCACAAATATAAATATTGTTTACAAAGCACTGGGTTTCAAAGTGGAACTTCTCTTACTTTTAACTTTTTTCACAAACCAAATGAAGAAAATGCAAATATTCTCACTGTTGGCTCCCTATTTTGTAAGTTACGCAGCATGGGTTCAAAAGGTTATACGGACACGGGACTGGAACTCGTACCAAAGAAGGAATAAGTTTAACTTTGATCCAAAAAATGGCAGTAGTGGTTGCAACCAAAGCTGTTTTTATCCGACAAAAGTGAAAATTTAGCTCCAGGTGCTTTAGCTTTGAGCCAATCTCCTGCTTGGTGTTGCCCAGACGTCAGAGGAGATCTTGAAAAATAGATCAACTTTGGCGATCTCTGCTGCTCCCTAAGGAGTTCAGCTCAGATGCGGCAGTGGCAGTGAAGCAGAGAGGCAGAGCTGGGTGGACAGATGGTACACTCGTATTTACAGGATGTGACAGCAGCATTTGGAAGAAGCAGGACATGGTACACAGTTAGTCATCATCCTCATTTTAAATGCACTGTCGTTCTGTGTGTGTGTCTGCTTGTGCCTGTGTACGTGTTACTGCAATTTTTTGTGGATATACACAAACACAAAAAAATGTGTAAAGCATTAATCCGGTCTTCAGTACATTTTAAAGCTTTAGCTACCAGTGAGTCATCAATTAGGCCTTACACACACACACACA